GACGGCGTGGTGATGGTGATGATGTTCTACCGACACAGGGCTTCGCCTAAGCACCGCAACGATATTATCAAGGTGGAATATGGTGGAGGGGGCACCGCACACGGCTAATAGATCTCAAGGATCAATTGTTGTGTCTAGAGGTGCCCCTTGCCCCCGTATATAAAGGAGCAAGGGGGAGGGGGCGGATGGCCAAGAGGAGGCGTGCCAGGGAGGAGTCCTACTCCCGCCGGGAGTAGGACTCCCTCCTTTCCTTGTCGAAGTAGGAGAGGGGGAAGGAAGGGGAGAGAGGAGAGGAAGGAAAGGGGGGCGCCGCTCCCTCCTTGTCCTATTCGGACTAGAGGGGGAGGAGGCGTGCGGCCTGCCCTGGCCGCCCCTCCTCTGCTCCACTTTGGGCCCATGAGGCCCATTAACCCCCCGGGGGGTTCCGGTAACCCCCCGGTACTCCGGTATACATCCGATAGCCCCCGAAACCATTCCGGTGTCCGAATATAGTCGTCCAATATATCAATCTTCATGTATCGACCATTTTGAGACTCCTCGTTATGTCCGTGATCACATCCGGGACTCGAAACTATCTTCGGTCATCAAAATATATAAACTCATAATATAACCGTCATCGAACTTTAAGTGTGCGGACCCTACGGGTTTGAGAACTATGTAGACATGACCGAGACACGTCTCCGGTCAATAACCAATAGCGGAACCTGGATGCTCATATTGGCTCCCACATATTCTACGAAGATCTTTATCGGTCAAACCGCATAACAACATACGTTGTTCCCTTTGTCATTGGTATGTTACTTGCCCGAGATTCGATTGTCGGTATCTTTATACCTGGTTCAATCTCGTTACCGGCAAGTCTCTTTACTCGTTCCGTAATGCATCATCCCGTAACTAACTCATTAGCTACATTGCTTGCAAGGCTTATAGTGATGTGCATTACCGAGAGGGCCCAGAGATACCTCTTCGATAATCGGAGTGACAAATCCTAATCTCGAAATACGCCAACTCAACATGTACCTTCGGAGACACCTGTAGAGCTCCTTTATAATCACCCAGTTACGTTGTGACGTTTGGTAGCACACAAAGTGTTCCTCCGGTAAATGGGAGTTGCATAATCTCATAGTTGTAGGAACATGTATAAGTCATGAAGAAAGCAATAGCAACATACGAAATGATCAAGTGCTAAGCTAACGGAATGGATCAAGTCAATCACATCATTCTCCTAATGATGTGATCCCGTTAATCAAATGACAACCTATGTCTATGGTTAGGAAACACAACCATCTTTGAGCAACGACCTAGTCAAGTAGAGGCATACTAGTGACACTATGTTTGTCTATGTATTCACACATGTATTATGTTTCTGGTTAATACAATTCTAGCATGAATAATAAACATTTATCATGATATAAGGAAATAAATAATAACTTTATTATTGCCTCTAGGGCATATTTCCTTCACTCCGCCGCTCCCGGGAGGACATCGCCCGGCCGACGGATGGATCCGTCCGTCGTGACGCCATAGCATCGGCTCACCGGGCGCTCGGGTCCTCTGGTGCTGGATCCTCGTGGTCCCGACCGGAACACCTCTCCTTCCCCATCACCAGTCGGGCAAAGTATGAGTCCCACTGGGTACGGGCGGCCCGCCGTGGGAAGGAGCGGATAAGGGCCATATCGCAGCGGAAATGGCGGCGGCTGGGGCGACTGATGCCGCGGCTTGGGCAGCCGCAGAGGAAGAAGCCATCCACGCCCACATTATGAAGAAACGGCAGCGGAGGAACATGGGCACCCTCGCCCTAGAGCAGAATCGGGTGGTCCGTGCCATGGCCAAACTGCCACCGAAGGAGGACAAGGAGGACAGCGACGACGAGGACAACTCCGACGATGAGCAGATATGGCTCGATCCGCACTGCGTCTTTGACCGGTACTTCCGCGAGAAGGACGACAAGGGCGCCGAGAAGGGCAAGGGCAGCCGTGGTTGAACTCCACCATATCCAAACATGCCAAATTTTGGTAGTTTGATGGCATGTTTAGTGTAGTGTGATGGAGTAGCCGGACGATGTGTGTGCGTCGACGTAGTTGCATGGGTTTGTATGGATTAGAGATAGGTAATTGAAGTGTCCGGATGTGGATTACATTATTTGAGAGGTGCCCGGTCAGTGCCCGAAAACGCGTCCGCGTGCGTTTGAAGGGCCGGATTTGCCAAGTCCGCCTGTAGATGCTCTAAAGTCCTTAGAAGAAGAAACATCCCTGTGTAAAAGAAAAATTACATAAATATCCATAAGGCCTCGTTTGACACAGGAGGATTCATGAGGTTTCGAGAGGATAATCCCCGAGAGGGCCAGAAGCCCCATGAAACCTCGTCAACCCATTTGATAGGTGGGGTTTGCACAGCCCAACCCCCTCCGACCCCTTTCAATCCCCTCACACCCACGCGTTTCAAAACTCCCGTCGAGGGCCTCGCGAAAGCAAAACCTCGAGAGCAGTGGCATCGCACGCCTCCTCCACTCTCCGCCTGCCAAATGAGTTTTTCACGAAGAGGTTTGGATGCAAGGGAAATTGAGGGGATTGGGTGGAGGGGAGGGATTCACCAAATCCCCTGCAATTCCCACACCTCAAATCCTCCTCAATCCCTCCATGTCAAACGAGGCCTAAAGGACACATGTGCCTCCCACCACCGATGAGCGAACCACGCATCAGACTCGAGCACATGTGTTTGCTTCGGTCTTGAGAACGTCTTTCACATCATCACCGCTGACCGAAGAATGCTTCGTCTACGACCAGCTAGGCACGCCGCACGCGACGACACTGCCTCCCGTGATGCGCTCTAACGACTCCTCTTGGCTCGCGGGCTATCAAGGTCAAGTAGAACAACAACAGTGAAGCCGAATGACTTGCTGATGCCAAAGAAGAAGACGCTCATGCGCCGACGACCAACCATAACCGCTTGACCGACATATGACTTCCAAACAACAAACTTGCAAGAACGACCTCTAGCTAACGAAGAAAGAATGCCTGAACAAATCGTTCGTGTAACGTTTCCTTACAAAAGAATTTGTGCATCATGAGCATCCCATTTGCATCATATTCATTTAATTTTAGTTTAAAATGAGGATTTAACCAACCCTCCGGATTTTCTTAAAGGGCTAAACCTTAAATTTTGCCAATTGTCCAAAATGCTTATCCTAAACCCTATTTTTTTGGAAATGCTCTAATGTTTATTATGTCGGCCTTCTCCAAAATTTTAAGGTGTAAAAATAATTTAATTTTTTTGGTTAGAACACTAAACCTAAATAATTGGGATTGCTTTCTTAGAAAATATTAAAATGACCTCAAATATCATGATAATTTTTGTGTGGCCTTGTTATGATAATTTTTAAAGTTGTTTTTCGTAGCCCGATTAATTATAAACATCAAACACGTGGGCTGACCCAACTTGGCCCAGTGGACGAATCTTAGTAACTTTTATTTTTTGCGGGAAACTTTCTATCTATTCGTCTCCAATCATGGCAATACATCGAACACAAAAAATAATAAAAATTACATTCAGATTCGTACACCACCCAGCAAGGACTACAAGTACCAAGCACCGAAGCGAGACAAACCTTAGTAACTTGTTATGATAATTTTGAAGTTGTTTTTTAAAGGATATAGGAGTATAAGGCAGCTGACATTATTTATATGTCATTGTTAACAGGTACATAAACTGGATCTGGACTGGAGGATCAATTAACCAGACATGTCTGGTTAATTATTGCTAGTAGGCCTTTCTCTCCTTTTTTTTAGAGCTGGTAGTAGGCCTTTTCTCAGTCAACATATCGATTGGCTGACAGAGGCTCAACCAACTGCCCGAAAGCACTGCCTGAGGCCCATACATAATCTAGTTGGATGCCCTCGTGCACGTACAACGTTTAAATAGTTTGTCTTTCAAAGCAAAACAAATTGTCTGGGTGGTGTAGTTGGTTATCACGTTAGTCTCACACACTAAAGGTCCCCAGTTCGAACCTGGGCTCAGACATCACCTTGTTTTTCTTCTATTTTTCTCCTTTGCAAATAGAACTGGGCTCGCACATTATCTTTTTTTTCTTCTACTAGTATTTTTCTCCTTTGCAAATAAAAGTAAGCTTTCCGGACGCGTCTTTCACTCACCACGTACGGTACGTTCGGCGCTTCGATTCAGCTTACCGACTCTGCCACGGTCTCGGTCTGATATACTACGTACCAATAGACTCCTATATATGAACACAAGTTCCATAACGTCCCAAGGACAGAATCACAGAACCGCGTGCATACGAAGACAACGCCGGCCGCAGGCGAGATGGAGCGACTGCCGGAGGATCTCCTCGTGCGTGTTGTCTCGCTCACGTCGCCGCTGGACGCCTGCCGCGCGGCCGCCGTCTCCCAGGCCTTCCGCGCCGCAGCAGACTCCGACGCCGTCTGGTCCTTCTTCCTGCCCCGTAACCTCCCGCGGTTCGCCAAAGGCGAGCTCCCCCGCACGCAGCCGTCGAGCAGGAAGGAGCTGTTCCGACGCCTCTCCGACCAGCCAGCTCTCCTCCCACACAAATTAGTGGTACGTTATATATATACCGACGAACTCAGCGTTCATGTGATACGTTCTTGCAGTTTAATAGGCTCAATATAATGTCATTTGCCGTGTAATTACTCCGTGCAGAGCATGCAGCTCGACAAGGCTACCGGCGCCCAGCGCTTCACGATTTCGGCGAGGGCGTTGCAGATTCCGCGGTGCAAGGGCTCGCGCCGGGCCAGTTTATGTGCACTTTCGAATTGCAGCAAAGAAGACAAAAGGTGCAAGCCGTCTCGAATCTTACACAGTAGTACTTGTTTAATTTTACCATAGCGAATTTAGTGCCTTTGCCTTTGATGCCTTTCGCTACTAGTACTTATGAACCGCGGATTGCAACATGCAGGATCTTCTCCGAAGACGCTCAGTTCTATCGTGTCAATGAGTTGGAGATCCGGGGAAAGATACAGAAGAAGATGCTCTCACAAAATACAATATATGCCGTATACTTGGTGTTCAAGCTAGCATATGCATACTATGAGTATGATTTCCCATACGAGGTGGCATCCGTTGGTGTTGCCGGGAGGGAGTCGACCCAACAAGTTTGCGTGCAAGGTTGGAGAGGGAGTCTTAACTGTGACGCAATTCCACCCGAAGAGGAAGTTCATTTCCCTCATGAAAAAGCCGACGGCTGGATGGAGGTGGAGTTGGGTGAGTTCCATAACGAGGAGGGTGACAGTAGTGGCGAGGTGTCCATCAGCTTCATGGGAGAAAGCAAGTCTGGTCTTACCGTACTGGGCATTGAGCTCAGAAGTAAGCAACAAAAGCCGACATAATTGTAGAATTACCATTAAGAGTTTTGTTGCTATATTTCGCATTATTGGATTGGCTTGTTGTAACATGATGTGTGTAGTTACCTTCATGGATCAACAACAGTGGCATAAGTGATATTTTAATTATACATTGCGAAGTGACTAAAACCTGAATGGGATGTTTCCTGGTATATATGATGAAACACATGACAGAGACATGGATGAAATTACCTTTCCTGATTACATTATTTTGTTTGCCCTTGGGAACACTTATTTGTAATTCAGGTCATCAACAATAGAAGTCAGGAACACCCACTAGTAGAAAACAGGGCTTTCGTCCGGGCCAGATAAGTCCATTAGTCCCGGTTCAGTCATAAACCGGGACTAATGTGAGCATTGGTCCTGGTTCGTGCGGTAAAGGCATTAGTCCCGGTTCAAATGAGCCCTTTAGTCCCGGTTTGAGACACGAACCGAGACTAAAGGGTGCAATGCCATTTAGTCCCGGTTCGTATCTCAAACCGGGACTAAAGGTCTAATCTTTAGTCCCGGTTTGAGACAGCCCTTTAGTCCCGGTTCGTGTCTCAAACCGGGACTAAAGGTCCAAT